ATACATACTCCCTTTCTGTTACTGCACTACCAAGCCCAACAAGCCATGAATACTGCCTGTCACAAGTATCTCTTAATAACTATCCTATACAAGAAACAATCATATAAATGTAAAAGCTCTACACTACACCATCTACAATGTGGGGAGTAATAAAATATACCTACCATGCTAAGTTAGTGTGTATCATGGTTAGTTTTTTGATGGACTGGCATGTGAACTCAGCCTATTACATTCATTTATGATTTAATGTTTGGTAAAACACAACAAATTAACTGAATAACTAGGTCAAACATGTCATGTGAACAGTCTCTATTTTTTTTTTATTACCTTCAATGTGGATTCTGACTAATTCCATGGAGATAACATTTGGCTGATATCAACAGAAAAATCATCCCTGAGGGACAATGCTCGATACCTAAAGTTATTATTCTCCAGAAGGTAATTTCTCCAAAATCCCCAGCTACACTTTTGCTAACAGAGAAACACCTCAGGTGAAGATTGTCCAGGTAGAACTTAGATTTCATCCCCATAAGCCAGTCCAATCCTTAAAATCAGCCTCTCAGAATGGCAAGAAATATTGGTAGCAGATTTAAAGACAGGGTTTGTTTGGCCATGGCAGTAAACGCTCTGCATTACTCTCCTTGGAAAGATCTAGAAGGCTCCTTCTCTTCCTCCTTCAGACTGAAAATCTTTTTACTGACAGCCATTGTTTTCTACAATTTCAACTGCAGTTTACTTTTGTTGCTATTTTTAGTGCCTGTGCTTTGGTAACAATTTTACTATTTCCATAAGATCTTTTATTATTAACCTGTATATAAAAAAATTAAAATATAAAAAAGCTTTCTTCTTCCATATTTCCTGTCTTTGTCTCTTCTCCGTCCATAAACTATCTGCCACTGACTCATCAAAGATGACAATATCACTGAGTTATTTTTCTGATTACTTTTAAATCGTTTTAATAATTGTATTTATTTCCTACTCGTCCATTATCTCATACTCAATATCGCTTACAATGTATTAAAATAATCACACATCACACGCACAAAGTATCGTTACACTGTATTTTTCCCCGTAGCTTCGGGTCAGAAAACCTTTTAAAAGTTATGCAGCTGTGTGGACGCAGCCAGCACAAAAAAGGGCAAATCCATTTTATAGTGACAGTGCGTTCTCCCTCTCTCGATATACATATAAAAAAATTACCTCCTCGTTAAGGCGAAGCAAAGGTGACACATACATACAACGGGGCCATTTTTCTCTCAGGCCCCCAAGGCCGCAGCCGGACCGCGACGGCTTAGACCCCTTTGCTTCGCCTTAACGAAGAGGCAGAAGCTACCGACAGACTGAATCGGCTCGGCTTGCACACAAAGAAGACTAACGAGGTCTCCATGAAGAAAAAACAGGCAAGGTCTTCGCGCTTCCTGCCCATTCAATAAACGATCGCACACTCTCCATATTACGAGAACAAATTATCTCATCATGAAGACTCCTAACTTTGGTATTTCAGGCTTTAACTATAATCTCGCCCAAACTTACTTTTCCTTTCGGAGCCGCTCCCCGTTTACAGGCGTCTATAAACACGTTTGGAGCTCTTCACTGCCTATCCGCCATTACACAGTCCTCTCCGTGACAAAATGGCGCTGGGCAAGAAAGTTCTGGAAAAAAAAGGATTACGGAGGACGCGCATGCGCAGATATAACTGCCTTCAACCCCGCCCTCTGCGTCACGCTAACAATCAAAGGGAGGTTTAAAAAAAAAACCTCACTGCGTGTGCAAATCAATGCTGCGTTGAGTAGTTGTGCGCATGGCGTCTGAAGTTGGAGCGGGCGCGAATGATATGTCGAGCTGTCAGTATGTTTTACGAAGACGCGGACTAAATACCAGCCGCAATTTTCTTTTTTCAGTCATCTTGCTCGATGAAATTATCCTGAAAACTCTCATCGTTGCATATTATTTTATAAACAGCCTACAGAAAATATTGAGCCCGAACGAATCCTAGCTGCTCTGACCTGATGGTTCTTCCTATGAGGCTTGTATTATCCAATTTCGCAGTTCATCCGAGGACTGTTCTAAGCAAAGAATCACGGGCAGAACTTTCACAGTGTGGCTGTCTGCGCTTAAGAGATTCGTCACGAAGGAACCCTCAAGCGCAAAATTGCCTTGATCATAAGTCTCCACTCTCAAGAATACTTGTGGCCAATGCATTGCCGTGCCCAACTGTGACTATTGTTCAAGCAACCTCTTGAACAACAGATAACTGGAATTCTGTCAGGTGGGGTCATCCTGAGGGTTCAGGTGTTGGGAGTAGGTAGAGCTCAATCTGGCACTGGTCTGGCATCTCCCTGCCCTTCACACTTTGCTGGAAGTAACCACTGAGCTTACGGCACTTATCCATAAGAGCAGCAGTGGGAGCCTCAGTGCCACCTGAGATGATCCTAGTGGTGACCTCTCCAGGCCAGGACCATCCCACATAATCAGACACAGCTTGGAGCCATGCAGCAGTTGCCAGCAAATCATGCCTGACAGGATGCCCTATGTGTGTTGGGCTCTTTATCCATTATCATGAAGGTATGGTTGAGATCCAATTTCACACTGCACTTTGTGGCCATGGTCCTCTCATCTGCAGTATGTATCACTTCCAACACATAAGCATGAAGCAGCGCCCATTTGTACCTCTGTCCTACTTCATGGGAAGTGCTACATTCTCACCCCATCCCCACCAGAGAATGGAGGAAAGAAGAAAGAAGCATGCTCTCTACTTCAGTTGGACCAAATATCTGAGGAGGATGTAAGCTAGCAGCAGTTCCAACACTTCCTTGCTGCATCAGTGATACAGTCAGGGCACTACCTGCCTATTAAAGATAATGCATGAAAGGATCTTTCAGAGGCCACCAGAAGGAGGCTGGAATCTGACATCATCCGCCATGCTAAACAGTGAATATTCAAAGCCATAATCTTTGTGACAGCTTGTGTCATGTCTGATACCTTTGAGTTACCCTGCCTTTTACTGCCTCACAGCTGCTTTATTCCCTGCTCAAGCATCTTGCTCTGCTTGAGAATAGAGAATTAATGCCTCTAGACATGGGAAGGATATCTGGATGGTGCCTAAACAGATGCATAGCATACCCAAGATTAAAGATGCCTATTGTCTTTTCTGCAGCTGATCTAGGCCCTGCAGTAGTTGCAGACAATATATTATAGATCTTCAAGCAGAAGCTGCTCTTGGGCCCACAGCATACCTGCTTTCGTAGTATTGGGAGGTCATATAGTAAATCACCTCTGGAATGAGGGTCCCCCTGAGATCCTGATGTCCCCCACCCTACTGGTGTTTTGAAGAGGCTTGAAGACCAGGCCTCTAATGAAGCCCCTTGGATTGTGCGGGGTTATTTTTTTCATTCCTGTGGTTTTTGTCATTCTGGCCATCTTTTATTCATTTTTGTTTCTTCTTGTATTGGTATTTTATTTGTGAGCCATGGAGTTTTGGGGAATCAGGTGGTATATACATTTAATAAATAAATCTGGGCCACCATTACTCCCACATGCCTTGGTCTCAGATTCGGAAGGAGGCAGCTCCTCCTCCTCCTGATCTCCCTTCTGAGTCCCTGGGTTGCTGAGGAGGGAGGGCTGACTGCTTCACTCCTCCTCTGCTTGTGCCACAGGAAGAGCTCCTTGTCCAACCTCATTCGCCACCATGCCAGCTGGTGGCTCTACTGCTGCTTCAGGAGCAGGCGTGGGACTAAAATCAAGCCTCCTGGCAGCCATCGCTCTCCCCCCTCCCTTGACCAATAAACTTTGTCACTGCCCTCCCCCCTGACTACCCCTCTACCTGGCTGAACTCTTTCTTCCTGGCTTGTTCAGTGGGGTTTTTGGGAGGGGGCAAGATAGTTTGGAGAATATTACTTCATTAGGTCCGGGGTGGGGGCAGGGAGAAAGTAGCCTATTTAAGCAAAAAACCTGCTTTTTAATATGTGTGCACATGTATTTAGCAAGCAGCAGTGCTGTCAGTACAATGCACAAACACACAATTGGAATAATTCATTCTCCCCCTCCCCCCAGCCCCAAAGCAAGCAAGTCTTATTTGGCAGAAAAGTTTCCTTTGGAGGGAGGAAATGTTATTTTAAACTCAAAAGAAGCTGATTTTAAAAGCAAGGGGTGGAGAAATCCCTGTTTCTCTAACTACTGTAACTGCTATCACTCACCTCGCTACATCAAAACTCAAACTTTAAAACTTGATTGTTTGCTTCAGAGGTAGGCAAGCAACCAAATACTTACCAGTCACTACTATTCTAAGAAAAGTATTGGTTCCATGATTGAGTCCAATGGCCCCTCGACACAATTTCCTCTTTGATAACTCATGCTCCAATCAGTATATCTCCAAGGGCGAACAGCTCTCTGTGTTATGTGCTCTTTAAATGCCTGCTACTTCATTCCACAACTCCACCCAGATCACACACACACACACACACACACACACACACACAACTAACAGTCGTAGGACATAATCAGTCCTTCATAGTGTACTGACACAGAGATTTCAAAAAATAACAAAAACCCAATTGCATGAAACAACTCCCAGTTACAACAACTAAAAGTGAACACTCCAAATACTCTGACCCAGAAACATTTGAAACCAAAAAAAGTTTTGATGTGCACACAAACCACCAGAAACTAGCTGGTCTGTGCAGTCCTGATTAGTAAAGCCATGAAATTCATCAAATTACCTTCAGTAAAACATTCTCCTTGCCTGATTTACTGTATAGGATAGTTGCAAAAATAAAGGGAGACCCTAAACACTTCTGAGGAAGGATAGAATTAAAATGCAGCATTATACACGTGCATGTTGCTATATATACTGCCTAAATTTGTTGTAATTTTGGACTTTGTTGTATGCCACTACGAATCAGTATGATTCAGCAGCATATAAATCCAATAAACAAATAAAATGAAAATTGCATTTTTAGGAATACTCACATTAAAACACAGAATTTATATAAATATTCATACATCTTTATTTTAGTCATCCAACTGGCAATGCCTTTTCCTTGAACAAGCCTTTGTTAACACAGACTTATCCTCTAGCATTCCTTGTTTGTTCATCAACTCTCCAGTTTGTTGATATTGGAGATTTTCAATAGATTTTAAAAAATGATTATGACGCCAGGTACCCAAACTAGCCTCTGTACTGCTTTTTCAGCTAGTCTGGTATTCTTGACGAAATTGAATCTTAAATAAGGGAGATAGCAATCAGTTCAGGAACACTGTCTGGATTACCAATAGAAAAAATATAATTTGATTTTAAACATTTTGAACATCAACATTTAGAATTTCTCTCCTGTGAAATGTTCAAATTAAAAAAGTTAGCCCATTGCAGCTATTGAGCAAAAGGGTTAGCGTGAATTGTCACATCTTTAATATGGACATCATTCAAGGGACGAAATGTCTTTTCATTTACAGGCAACTTCTCCAGCTCATCCAGTGTATCCAAGCCATCGATTACTCTACACGGAGAAATAAACAAAAATAGTAATGAGAATCTCCTTGCATAGAAAGGCACATGCCTTCTCTCATCTTTGTAAGAAGCTGTTGTGGGGATACAAGCCCATTCACAAATAGCCGGCCGTGGTGCCTATGGCCAAAGACAAAACGCCTCTTGAAGAACAGAATGGTGAGATAGCTTCCTGTCATACTCTCCTGTCCCCTAGGATACTCTCTACCAACTTAGCTTACTGTTATCTTTTTACTAGTCAGGCTTCCAAGGAAAACACTGAAATGTAGTCACCCATGATTTTAGTTTTTCAAGGAAGTCTGTATGATAGAGAGACATTACTATAAATAATTATGATGTTATGTAATGGACATCAGTTCCTAGAATTCTCCCGTGAACATGGCCATTGCTGTGATTTCTGGGAGTTGCCCATGTATCTGGAGAGCACTCTAGGTGGAGAAAGTTGTGCTTTGGTTTGACATTTGCAGCAAAAAAGTAAATAAAAAGGCTTTTTTAAAAACTAAAGTCAGGTGGGGCAGGTTGCTTAAAGAGTAGCAGAGGAGGTATCTGGGATAAATATGGGTTTTCCCCCCATAAACCATGCAGTGTCTCCACCCTACTAGACTCTTTTTAATTCTATGGTATGCAGTCTTTTATTTTATTCAGTAACATTGGATCACTTACTTCCCAAAGACGGTGTATTTCATGTCAAGATGTGGCTGTTTGCCATAGGTGATAAAGAACTGAGATCCATTTGTATTTGGACCATTGTTTGCCATGGAAACAACTCCACGGACACTGTGCTGAAAGTGAATCAGGAAATTAGAATATATGTACTAGTAAGTATTTTTTTTCATTTATTTCTAATATTTCTGTTCTACTTTAAGGCAGCTTACAGTATAAAACTCTAAACAAGCAAAGACTTGGCCTATCTCTGGGCTGATTTGCTTACTTCAGTCTTTTCCAAACTTGGGACTGTAAGGCTCTTTACTGTTTTCCGTTACAACATCCTCTTTAGTAACTTGTCAGTGCAAGTGTTCCAAAAAGGAAACCGAGACTAAAATTCATGGAACTAAATACAAGAACCACCCCAGTCCCTGCAATAACTTTGACAATGTTGCCTTTTGTTCTGGCCATCCCAGATAAGTAGAAGGTATGGGTCCTACTGATGGATGGATGGAAACCCTGAAGCAAACTATAATTACATAAAACAAACCTAGATTTCGCATTATGACTCAACTAGGGCAAAGACTATTGGGTCTATTCAAGACACTACCTACTTGCAGTACCCCATGCCCCAAACCTATCCCATTCCCAAATATCCTCCTTTCCACAGAGGGAATGGGAATCAGGTGAGCAATGCAATCTTCTTCCATAGTTAGGTTCATAGCTACCTTATGCTCAGATAATTTTTAAAAAAGAAAATGTATAACTTGAACAAGGAACTGCAATGGAAAGAAGAAGAAAAAAATCACCTTTAAGTATTCACTGTATTCATCTTCAAACTTCCTGCCCCAAATACTGTTTCCTCCTTTCCCAGAACCTGAAGTAATCAGGAAGAGGAAAGGGGCGGGGGGAGAGAGAAGAGAGAACAGGAACAGAAACAGAAACATGGGTCAAGTGGGCTTCAAAATCAAGGCACAAAGTCAACCGCACACAAATCTTATCCCCATAAATCCAGGTACCCTCCTGTCTAGCACAAAATTTCTATATCCCCAGTTCCTCAAAAAAATGAGTAAGTAAGAAAGATGGAGAGGTTTTCTCTCATTGGGGCTGGAGTTTCTGAAAAACACAATAGATGCTTACTGTTCTCTAGCTGCTCAAACCTCAGGCAACCTTTAAAAGACCTCACTCTTATGTCCTAGAAGATGGTGTCCTCAAAATGTGTTTTTTGGATCTGTCGAATATACTGATCTATACAATAGATAGCTTTTATTTGCCTTTTTAAAATTCATATCTAAAGAACTACTGTTTAGCAAATTATTTTGCAAAATTTACATAGCAAATTCATAAAATTACAATTGTCCTCATCTTTGCAGTAAAATGCTTTTCTTAGTCGTATGGTAGTATTGCTTCAGGAGAATGGTGTAATATATCTAACTTTTATAAAAGGAATTACCAGTTGGGTCTCCCGTCTGAACCATAAAGCCTTTGATATTCCGGTGAAAAGTACAGCCACTATAGTAGTTACTAGCACAGAGAGCCAGAAAATTCTAAGGAAAGAACCAGAATGCCAGTTAAGAAACACACTGTGATACAAAACATGTTATACTCATTCCAAAGACTTGCTTAGACATAACAGCCACATCCAAATATCATGGTAAAATATGGCTGAATGACATGTGATTAACCTTCCAAGCACCCTCTGCTAAGCCACCACTGACTGAATTAGTGGGAAGCCCCAGGATCAAACAAATCAGTTCTAAACTATGCGTTTTGAAAGCTATGTCATTTAAACAAATCAACAATACAATGCAAGTAAAAAGTGTGAACTAAAATGGATGGAAACTAATATTCAATGCAAAACCATAGGAAGTCAGAAATAGTAAGTTTATCTGGTGTTGCTATTCTGTCAAAACTAAATGTGTAGATGTAAAAGGATTTGGCCCTTAACTCTGTAAAGTACAGCAGAATGCCTATTAAGATATGAAAATGGTTAGTGAAAAACAGCCAACAGTGATACTGTCTAAATGTTTGGAGATTATAGTTCCTAAAACTCCCAAGCAACATAGCCAATAAATTGTGCCTAGGAATTCTAATCCCAACACACCAGATTAAAGAAATATAGTGGGATGGGCTTAAGGGAGATAAACAAAGCATATCTACCATTAGAAGAGAATATGTATAGCTCAGGGTTGAACTGTGGAGTCCTTGGGGTTCTCTGAGCTTGGTTGTTTTCTTGCAAACATTTCGTTACACAACTAGGTAATATCTGCATCCCATTCTAGCCCTGAAGATGTTACCTAGTTGGGTAATGAAACATTTGTAAGAAAACAACCAACCTCAGAAAACCCCAAGGACTCCATATCTACCATGTTTTGTTGTCTTATCTCTTATACTGAGAATTTTTATAAAATCTGAATTGTTCCTCTGTTCAGTGGTATCTTTTATTTTCATGACTTACTTCACAAGCTTTTGGTGTTCGTTCACAGAATAACTCTATTTTAATATCTCCAACATCAGTGTGCAGTGTGACAGCCTGGAGGAGGAATTGAACTATATTATATATATATATATATGTGTCAGGGAAATATGCACACTTTTATATTTTTTTCACAGCAGTCAACAAACAAAAAAGCAGTTAAATATACTACAGCAATCCAATTAAAATAACTGGTTGTAAAAGGACATACAGTGTATATATGCCTCTCCACGGGATAACAGAGTTGCTTCTTAAGAGTACTTTGTTGGAGAAAGCTAATTTAAACCCCAGTTCATAGTCCTTTTGCAGAGAATGCAGTAGTCAGCTTCTGCATTTCAAATGTGGGGCTCAGAATGGGTGTGTACGATAGGCAGGACCCAGCTTTAGTCCTGGTTAGCGTAGCCTTGCTAAAATCAACCAGGCAAGTCAATCCTAACTTGAATCATAATTTTTCATCATCCTAGTCTCAGCAGGGCTAATTCGAGATCCAACCCCCATTAAGATATAAATCAAGTTTTATCTTGGTCTTCGAACAGGCAGGTTGTCTGATCTTTCTTCACAGAAATCACAAGGCATCGATTGGCTTCGGTGTAACAGCCCAAAGAACAGGGGTAGTACTGGATGGCTGATCAGGTCAACTCAATAAGGCCTCTGGCCAAGCGACCCGTCTTTCAGCAATTCCCTATTCCCCCCAGGTGCAAGGATGCCAGGGGGACCCTACAGCGGAAACGTACGCGGACGCGAGGCCCCGGTATGGAAAGGCGTTCCGCGAGAGCGAGAGGTCGGCCCACGCTGCACGCGCCGCGCCAGGTCTCGAAGCCGCAAGCCTCACCATCTTTGCCGGTTAGCGGGGGGAAGCAACGCGCCCGTGTCTGAAGGCGTCCCGAATAGCAGCGCCGCTGAAACCAGCGGAAACGCAGCACATGGTAAAGAAACCCGGGGCGAGCAGAGCAGTTTCTCAGGCTAAAGGCTTTGGGAGTTTCCTGACTGCTCTGGTAAGACGGCCGCAGAAGGGGCAAAATCAACGAGGCCCTCGGCCGTCCCTTAGCTCGGCATCCGAGGTCCTGCGCTGCCTTCCCGCGAGGAGAAGAGCAACGAAGGCGCGCGAGCCCAAATGTGCACGCGCTCCGCCTTCCTATGTTGTCTTCGGCACTCAGGCCCGGCCCCGGATCTGCCGCGGTCGGCCTTTCTCCCGCCGGGCGCCGGGCGCCGCTTCCGCCGGGCGGCGGGGGGGGG